AAGGCCAAACATCACTGCAACTCTCCACCGATCTGTGCTTTATGCTGTTGTGGCCAGACTCAATCCTCTCCTCAGTGAAGACACATGAAAACACTCTTGGAATTTGCAAAAAAGCACCTAAAGGACCCTCAGACTCTGAGAAGTCTGATGAACCTCAATTCTAAGCATCATGTTTGAAGGAAACCAGCTCTGCTCATCACCTGCTTAGTACTATCCCAAAAGTAAAGTGTGCTGGTAGTAGCCTCATGCTGTGGGGCTGTTTTTTCAGTGGTAGGGGTGTTTGAAGGAAACCAGCTCTGCTCATCACCTGCTTAGTACTATCCCAAAAGTAAAGTGTGCTGGTAGCAGCCTCATGCTGTGGGGCTGTTTTTTCAGTGGTAGGGGCTGAGGGACTTGTCAGAGTAGAAGAAAAGCTCAATGCACCAAAATATTGAGATAGCCTTAATGAAAACAGAGCATTCAGAACCTCAGACTGGGAAGAAGCTTCACGTTCCAACAGGACAATGACCCTAAGCACACAGAAAGAGTGGCTTATAGGCAATTCTGTGAATGTCTTTGAGTGGCCCAGTCACAGACTGGGATTGAACCCAATCAAATATTTCTGTAGAAACCTCAAAATGTGCGTCTACCCCTTGATAGGTGAAGATGCAAGAAGAAGAATGGCAGATAATTGCCAAAAGATGATGATCAAAGTCGTCATATCATACCCAAAAATATTTGAGGCTGTAATTGGTGTCAAAGGTGCTTCAATATTGAATGACTTGAGCAAAGGTTGTGAATACTTATGTACATGTGATTTTATTTTATTTTTTTCCATTTTTTTTTTTTTTTTATAATTTTGCAAAGTTGGAATAAGGCTGTAACATAACAAAATGTGGAAAAAGTGAAGCGCTTTCCGGATGCACTGTAGAACCTCTGGCCTGACTGGTAGCTGGAGTGGGGACAGACACCTCCTATGGTCAGCCTGAATTTGTTGGGCCTGGATGGCATGCTGGAGCCTAACATGTG